ATTTTTTAGATATAATGCTATTGCACATTAATAAACTATAGTATAGTGTAAACATAACTTTTATGTACACTGAGAAACCAAAAATTTGGTGTGACTTGCTTAATTGAGAGATTAGCTTTATTGTGATGTGTCTGGAACTAAACCCATGATATCTCCAAGGCATGCCTGTACAAAGAAGTACATTGCTACTTTACTAAAGAAAAAAAAAGGAAAAAAATGTAGAAGCAACTTAAAATGACCTTAGAGAAATGAATATTATGGTAGATCAGTTTAAAATAACATGAAAACATTAAAATGATTATAAGAAAGTATGTAATAACCTCAAGTGTGCTTCAGAAAGTTTCATTCATTCAACAAATATTCACAAATATTCACTAGAACTGGACAGGTCTTCTACCTGTAAGAAGTTCATTCCCTAGGTGAGGAGATAAGGTGAAGATTGAGAAAGGCCCCTTGAGGATAGGTCTCTGTCTTGTCGTCTCTCCAGTACCTAGAGCAGTGGCTGACACACAGCAAACGTTCAGTAAGTGTTTGTTGGCTGGCTAGCAAGGATAATGCCACATACACAAAAAACTTAATTCCAGGTGACATATAACTTAAAGATATCTTATTTAACAAAAACTCTATGAAGGCTTTGGAACATCAGATGCAGACGACATCATTGAGATCAACAGGGAGAGAAGCAAAGTACATCAAAGTAGATGATGCTTCCTTGTTTCCCTTCACCCTAAAAGAAAAACCAGAAGAAGATGAGAAGGGTGTTAGCAGGGGGAAGTGGAGCTAAGGTAGCACTTCAGCTGCTAGAGTGTGCTCCGGTGCTTGAGTCACCATGTGGCCAGACCATCAGACCACTGGGCATTGCCAAGAGTGACACCATGGGTGACAGCAGCTGGCCTTAGCTGGCTGCCATGTCAGAGGCCCCAGAGTCCACCTATACTCTCAGGCCACGCTGGCTGACCCCTGACCTAAAACTGCAGGTAGGGAATAGTCGCTAGAGTCTTGTTTTCTTGTATGTTCCCCTGGGACAATCCTGGACTGGATGAGAAATTTCTGCTTGCAAATGTAGGTCAATTATGTTGATTTTATAATAATGGTAATTATGTCAGGTCTGCAGATCTGTGTTCTTTTGGAATAATTCAGAATGTATGTGTGGCATACAAATTTTCTTAAACTGCTAAATGTACATTTTAAGGGTGATTAAATTTACTTTGAAAAAATAACATATGAACATAATTTTACAAACAATATTTAGCTATTATAAATAACCTTACTTCAAAATCAGAGTTGTCTTCTTTTCCTATTACAGGTATCATCTTTTATCAGGAATTCCTTGGTGCTGCTTTTCTCACTGTATTTGTATATCTTTTTGGGTGAGTAAATGTCTCAAAGGTAAAGTATGTGAAATTCTATGACTTTTACATAGGATTTTTGGCACTGCACCTGAGGTATGGAAAATAATATAAGAAACATCAGTTTCCTGAGTTCCTAAAAGAAACATATTTTTTAACTTAGGGCCTTATGCAGGGCTTGATGGCTTTGGCTTTATGATTTAGGTATCCCTCTGAAGTTCTGAAACATTGGGAATTTTCAGTTCCAAGACAAAGACAAGATACATCCACTGGCCCTTGTTACTCCACAACCTTTCTGTACTGTATCAGCCCTACTCCAGCCTTAGGAACCCCTAGATTAGATCTAAATTAGAGAACCATGATCCTCTAGGGTCACCCAAAATAGAAGGCAGGTAGATCCCTGGCTTTAGTCATGATAACATCAGGTTTGTAGCATCCCTTTCTTGTGTCAGAGTGTGCAGCTTGAACTCTCCCCAGAGATTTGGTGGGCATCATTGCTAGCATCGCTTACAAACAGAGAGCAGAACTTTGACAATATACAGTGTATAGGAGCTTCCATGACTCCATGAGGCACTTTATTAAATGCTTAGCTGCTTCTTGATCTGGTAGTCAGCATGATCATTGTTATACAAACTTGAGCCTAGGCTATTTTCAGTGTAGGAAACCATCTATCTTGAAAATTCAATTTCATAAGATTTTTGGGCAAGGCCAAACTTCTGAGGTCTGGAAATTATGACTCCTCTTACAGCCAAGGACAACTAGATTTCTTAGAAAATTAAAGAATAAATTACTTTTTCACTTGTGTCACATACCAGAAATGGATCTGGGCGTGCATGGGTAGAAAATGAGACAGGGTGTCTACCCAAAGGGTTTTGAGCCTCAATTAGCCCCCAGATGGTAAAAACCTGGGACAGAGATCTACTGGAATCTGCCCAAGTCTTGGTTCTGAATACAAATATTGGCTGTGCTAATTAAGACAAGTACTAGGAAGCTTACCATGAGAAACTGGATGAACAAAACCAATGGGATTTATGTCATCATGTAGAATACGGAGCTCAGTCATTTAATACCATGAGTCTGTTTCAGTGTTCTTGTATTCTTTATTAATATTATCCTTACAGGTGTTTTCTGTCATTCCTTGGTGTGTTTTTGGTCACAAGAAACCGAGAAAAGGAACATCTGCAACAGTCTTATATTGATTTTGGAAATATTCCTGGTAAAATCATATATTCTTTATAGTGGAAAATTTGATCCTTATAAATGAATAATTGTTGGTATTATTTTGGGTGGTGAGTTAATATAAAACATAATTCTTACCCTCAAAAAATGTACATTTAATAATGAAACCAAAGGTGATATTTTAAGTGTAAATGTTACTAATAATTTATTGAATGTCAGTTTTGCACAGAACTGGGGATTTAAAGGAACTGACCATGTTTTCTTGATTTTGGGGATTTCCTTTTTGGGATTCCTTAAGTTGGAAAAGGGTAGAGAAAAGAGTAGCAATGGCTAGCAGCAGCAGACTCCTGCTGCTTGGGGTGCCTTGAAGGAACACCAAAGAAGTGTTCCTTAGGCGGCTAAGGAACGTGTCCTGGGGGAAGCCTGGGGTGGCTTGTGCACTGTGGCTCAGGACAGTAACCAGAACGCAGGTAGCTTCTTCCCCTTTCCTCACCCCGCCTACCCAGAGAGCAAACATTCATTGTCTTTCCTGTTCTCACTCTCACTGAGAAATAACTCGCCTAGTCATGTAGACAACAGAAGCCAAGTCCGGACAAAGGAAGCCGTCTGCTGTGTCACCTCCTCCCCTGTCGGCCCACCGCCAGCACTCTCCCGCTTACTGGGGATGTGGGCAGAACTACAGGTTTCTAGGCAGGAGTGGAGATAGTCTCACAGCTGTCTCCACCATTCTGTTAGCATCATGCCTGTGAAGCAAAAACTAGGAAAGCCTCATCCCTAAGACTGAGAAATATGGCCCAATGCAATGAATTCTGTGTTCTTTTTGCCATTTGAGCTCTCTTATCTGCCAGAAGCAGTCAATGAAAGAATTGGCATCAGTGGCAAGGGGGCATGTGATAGAAGCCTTGTATGGTTAGAGGTTCTTTGGTAGGAAATAAAGTGTGATTTTTTTTTTTTTTTTTTTGAGATGGAGTCTTGCTCTGCCACCCAGGCTGGAGTGCAGTGGCGCAATCTCAACTCACTGCAGTCTTCCCCACCCGGGTTCAAGCAATTCTCGTGTCTCAACCTCCCGAGTAGCTGGGATTAAGGGTGTGCCACCACCATACTCGGCTAATTTTTGTATTTTTAGCAGAGATGGGTTTTCATCATGTTGGCCAGGCTGGTCTTGAACTCCTGACTTCAAGTGATTTGCCTGCCTTGGCCTCCCAATGTGCTGGTGTTATAGGCATGAGCCACCATGCCCAGCCTAATTATTTTTAACTCTATTTTTTAATTTACAAAGCCCAGTGCATAGGCTCAGTAGCAGCCCTAGAAGCCACTATCACAGGCTATTTTTCTATGATATTCTATGCATTCGACATGGAAAAGAAGACACAACCCCCGGAAGAAAGGCTTGGAGATAAGTGAATGCTTCATGTGAATCTCTGGGCTAACCCCACCTGATTTTCATGCCCAGCATGTAGATCCCATGGGGTGGGGCAGTGGCTCTGACATGGACAGATTTTTTATCACGTAGCTAGAGACACTGCGTTCCAAGGGCCTTTTCTTCCTTGACATTCACCTCTTATGTTTAGAGAGTGCCCACATAGTATAAAAGAGAGGCGATAAAATGTGGCCTAGATTGAGAGGAAATTACTAAGACTTATTTTTCTGTAAGACCTCAAAAGATTCTTTATGATTATTATCTCCACAGGGAAACAAATGTTGGACAAAATACAACCAGATTCCAATAGCTTATCCTATGGAACTTTGCCTGATGGAAGTGACTCAACAAAGAGCCAAAGTGGAGAGAAGAAAGAGGTCTAAAATGCCGAGAGGGATGGCTGTTGGCCTGTTATTCGATACCACCTTTTTAAAAAATTGCACATGTTCAATTTGTGTCAGCAGCTCTTTTATAAAGCTGATGTGCTAGCATTCGTTTCGGTCCTTCCCCCACCTCAGCATCTCTGGACAATCGGCGACTTCCTAAGCTCTGACAGTCTCATGTTTCCATGGAATGTGATTTGAAGTGTTCCCCACACCCTGGACCTCTCCCTAGTGATTATCTAACCAGCTACACCTTAATCAGAGCCCGACTGCTCCAGCAGGCATGTTGCACAGAAATGTACATTTGCAATTTGGCCATAGGTTGCATAAGATGCCTTCTCCCACGGGTAGTGTCAATTGTTTCACTTTAAAAAAATACATTTTAGCCCCATAACCTGACTCCCGAAAGAAAGATTTGAGGGTGGCCTCTTTTTTCTAAGACACCATTTATAAGCCTCCCTATAAAAATCTCACCTTTCTAATCCTAAATTAGAATGGCAAGTCATCTTTTCTGAAAACTCATGGTATCAAAGTCCTCCTTTGAAAATTAAGGGTCTCTTTAAATTAGAATTTATAAATGGCATTCAGTGATGGTGCATACCTAAATTAAAAGACCTTGACTGGTGGGCTTTTTAAATGTAAGAAGGAGGAAGTTTAAGAAGTAGGGCTGTGCTTGCTTCGGTAGCCCGTGTACTAAAATAGGAAGAATGCAGTTAAGATTAGCACGGCCCCTCACAAGGCTAACACATAAATAAATGAAGCATTAGAGAAACAAAGTAGGACCAATGTTTATGTTTTAATAAAAATATAGAATGGTGACATTTTCTTTAGCCGTATGATTCTGTTATACTTGAAACTGAAGAAAAATTGAATATCCTATGCCTTTGTTTTTATAGATCTTATAATTCCTCAAGTGGGTTTATATGTTGTATTCTCCATACAAGTCTCAAACATCACATTTAAATTCTTAGTGATACTTCCACTACACATCATTTCTTCCCAAAGGCATTATCTCAAGCTTTGTAAATTATTCTAGATAAAAGGAGAGTTGTGATTAGAGAACTGAATTTCAGCCATTTAAACCTGTAGACATAGAACATGACCTAGTGGTCAAACCTGAGCCTCACGGGGAAGCCCAAGTGCTCCTGTGCCCTGAATGGCTTTTCCACTCCAGTTCATCACAGATCTCCTGAGACACATTTACAGGTAGAATCCATAATAATATCTGTTATTTATGATCTACCTAATATTTAGAGGAGAAGAAAGGAGGTAGCCTTCATTGTAGCCAACATGAAACAATAAGCCCAATCCTTACTGACATTTCAAAGCCTATGACATGTCTGTCCAATATCATTCCAACCAATGGTCTTGCATTTAACTAGATTGTTTAACTTGGTGGTATTGAGGCTGTAACCTTAATGGCTCAGGTCTTTTAGCTTTGTTCTTTGTCATAATCTGCACTCCTGACCAGACTAACCAAACCCGGCTGCAAAGGAAAAAGATTTGAATTGATCACCAAAGTATGAAAAATACCCCAAAACCCAGGTCTGGCTCCCAAACTCTAGGTAATAATTCCCACCATTACAGAAAGTGTCCCATGCATTCAGAGAAAGCAGTCATAATTTATGGCATATTTTACTGAATAGGTCCAGCATATTGGTACTACAAGGCTCAGCCGAAAAATGTGTCTGGTGCCTTAAACTACAGGTTTCTGCTGACTCTTAAAACTGGTTTCAAAGATTGGGAAAACAATTAGATTGAAGAGTTTTGCTTCAGGTAGAACTGCATTCACAGCTAGAGTGCATGAGGTTTTCAGCATTGTAGAATTTCATACAGGCACAAGCATAACACCAGTACTTCAGCGGCCGCCAACAGTTGCATCTATTAAACATTTTGAGAAATGACATTGACATATGCACATTTAAGCAACCAACAATATTTTAGAAGTCCAGGTAACATATAAAATATATTTGGACCTAATTTTACTTTCTATATTGCTCCTCCAAAGTAAGGTAAATAGGAGTTTTGGTTGTACTGGCTTGTAAGATTTTTTAAATTACACAGTGCATGACCAAACTAAAGCCAACTCAGTCCTTCCCTTGGCATCGTGAGTTGAGGTTCTTTAGCCAACAGTTAGCTCACATGACTATTTGTCTGGATCAAGGGTCGGCAAAGTTTTCAGTAAAGACCCACAAGTACATATTTTAGAGTTTGTGCTGTCTGTCCCAACAGACAGACATGGTGTCTGTCCCAACTACCTAAGTCTGCCATTGTAGAATGAAAGCAGCTGTAGACAAGATGTAAACAAAAGAGCATGGCTGTATTCCAATAAAACTTTATTAACAGGCCAGGCACAGTGTCTCATGTCTGTAATCTTAGCACTCTGGAAAGCCGAGACTGGCAGATCATCTGAGGTTAGGAGTTCAGGACCAGCCTACTCAACATAATGAAACCTTATCTCTACTAAAAGTACAAAAATTAGCCGGGCATGGTGGTGGGTGCCTGGAGTCCCAGCTACTCGGGAGGCTGAGGCAAAAGAATCACTTGAACCTGGAAGGTGGAGGTTACAGTGAGCCAAGATCATGCCATTGCACTCCAGCCTGGGCGACAGAGCAAGACTGTTTCAAAACAAAACAAAACAAAACCAAGTGGCCAGTCTGTGAGCTATAGTTCGCCAACTCCTGGTCTAGACTCTTCTGCCCTTGCTATGCAGCTTGGGCATTCAGGGAAGGAATTTAAAAAGTGACACTCATGGCTCATGACAAATGAGATACTGTGGGAGAATGGAACCATGGCTTGATAAATTTGTCTTCTGATATTTTTGCTTATATAAGTTATAAATGGAAGTGATGAGTTCATTCTCAGGGTCCAAGTTTCTCTCTTTTGAAGGCACTGGTTCTTTTGTGAACACCAATAACTACCTTGAAGAGCCTCTCCGATCCCACATTCCAAGTCGATAATAGCTTTGGAAGTGAGTAACAATGACCTCTCATATAGCAGACTAAAGCAGGGGCCTTTACCATCTGATTGTTTTTTGGCTTAAATGTTTGCTTGCCCTGTAACTAGAATGCTTTCCTTACCAGAATCACTTGAAAACAAACACAATAAAAGAATTTCTCAAGCAGTGACCCAGAATGCATTCTTCCCCCTTCTCAATACCCTACACGCTCCTAGAGATTCTGTTCTGCGGCAACATAAGAAAGGAAAAGACAGATTTCACAGATGAGTGCCATTTCAGTGCTATGAAAGAGGAATGGTGATAATGTGTAAGTTTGGCTCAGAAAGACGCAGGTGTAATGGTGGACATGACTTAAATGGATAGAAATGTCAAGCCAAGTTCCCTAAGCCAAGAACCCTCTTCGTGCTCCTGTTTCCAAGGATGCAGCTCATCCAGGAATGGGTGAGTGTACACACTCAGCCGCGCTGAAGGCTGCCTCAGTGCTTGCCAATTTAACAGTGATCTGATGGACAAAAACATGAACCTTCCCCACGCTCTTCCAGACGGCTTTACTTAAACTCTGTGGCTGGTTATAGAGGTGATCTTTGCACTGGGCAGCTGCAAAGCTAATGCACATGTTTGGCACCAGTGAATGTGCGTCCTTTAGTGAGGTTGCTAGACAAACACCACACATTTTGAACGATTAGAACAAAATCTCAAAATTGAACCCAACGTGATTGTGTGGGGAATTTAGAGACTGCTTCTAATCATTAGACTCATCAACAGTCTGGCTCTTATTATGACCATCTTGAAGTAAAAAAATAAAATAAAATTCCACACATACACAGTTTTAATGCAAATATAGACCAGTCTTGGGCTATTAAACCTAGCATTTTAGCAATTGTGGTAAATGCAGGGAAGAGCCTTCCCACCCAGGAATTTTTGAGTCTGTTCCCTTTCTCACCAGCCTCAGAGTACCACACAACATGATGTCTGGTGCCAGGAAAGCAAATCAGTTACAGGAGCTGTGGCCCATCCAAGGCAGCTTTTCGTTTTTTTCTTGAGAGGGAGGAAACTCCTCCTTTAATGTTGGTCCTTATTGAGAGTTAATGAGTCCCAACCACAATGTAAAAGAGGAATATCAATCCCAATATCAAATAAATGTGGTGTCTTGGGGTGCACCCTGCTGAGCCAGGTACTGCCAAGAGTTTCACAGAGTTCCAAGCAAGATGTAAGATAGTCTCCATGTTCCAGGAAAGAATCTCCTTCCCAGGGAGCTGGGAACTGCATAGCCAAGAAGGAGCCCTCCATTCCTGATGGGACCAGCACGCATGGACTAAAGCCACTTTGCACACGTGAGCTGCTGCTAGCCAAACACGAGCCAGTCCCTCCAGTGTGCATGCATCCCGCTTTCAGAGCCTTTCCCTCATGGTTCTAATCTGAAAACCAACCTCAGAAATGTTCTGAGGCTTGGGCTCTGCTCCCTCTATTCAAAGCACCTCACCAAAACCTTCTAAACACTGTTCACGAACAAGGAGATGAATCAACTCAAGAACTCTTGACCCAGGGACTCGAAGCCGGGGTCATTTGCCTGATTATAGACTACTAGCTCAATTTACATGTCTCAGACTTAGCAAATGTTCATTAATTCACTCAAACATAATTGATCACCTACAGTTTTCAATGTAACGCACGCGTTTGTTTTTACAATAGACTTTATTTTGTAGAGCAGCTGTAAGTTCACAGCAAAATTGAGCAGAAGGTACAGAGAACTGACACCTGCTTCCTACCCCTGCACATGCACAGCCTCCCCTGTTAGCAACATCTCCCACCAGAGCGGTACATTTGTTACAATCAATGAACCCACACTGGCACATCTTATCACCCAAAGTCCCTAGTTTACATTAGGGTTCACTCTTGCTGTTATACATTCTACAGGTTTGGACAAATGTACGATGACATGTACCCATCATTATAGTATACTGGTCAGTTTCCAAAACCTCTGTGCTCTGCCTATTCATCCCTTCCTCCCTGCAGGCATTGGCAATCAGTGATCTTTTTATTGTCTCTCAAATTTTGCCTTTTTTTTTTTTTGAGACGGAGTTTTGCTCTTGTTACCCAGGCTGAAGTGCAATGGCACGATCTCAGCTCACCGCAACCTCCGCCTCCTGGGTTCAGGCAATTCTCCTGCCTCAGCCTCCTGAGTAGCTGGGATTACAGGCATGTGCCACCATGCCCAGCTAATTTTTTTTTGTATTTTTAGTAGAGACGGCGTTTCACCATGTTGACCAGAATGGTCTCGATCTCTTGACCTCGTGATCCACCCACCTCGGCCTCCCAAAGTGCTGGGATTACAGGCGTGAGCCACCGCGCCCGGCCTCAAATTTTGCCTTTTCCAGAATGTCATATGTTGAAATCATATAGTATGTAGCTTTTTCAGACTGGCTTCTTTCACTTAGTAACATGGATTTAAGTTTCATCCATTGCTATTCATGCTTAGCTGCTCATCTCATTTCTTCTGAGTGCTGAATAGTATTCTCTTGTCTGGAGGTACCAGAGTTTATTTACCTGTTCATCTACTTGGTTGGACAAGTAGATGAATAGATGTCATCTTGGAAGGACATCTTGCAATTGCAAAAAGCTTCCAAGTTATTGCAATTTAAGTTTATTGGGAATATGATGATGAATTAGACCAGCTCTTTGGGAGTTGTCTGTCTAGTCAGATAAACCACAGCTCTCATTCATTGAGCCCTTCCTTACTGTGTGCCAGGGACTGTGCTAATCTTTGACTTGTGTTACTCATTTAATCCTTACAATTCTCTATTAGAGAGATCCCA